ACCAATCCTTCAAGTACACTGAGGGATGACTGTGTTGCTGCCCAACCAGGTTCATTTGCTCGCTGCCCAAGAGGAAGCCAATACACTGAGACAGCAGGATTTGCAGCAGAGAAAGAGTTTATTATGCATAATGCTAACCGGGGAGACAGGAGAAATTTCTCAAATCCACCTCCTCAAGAATTTGGGAGACAGGGTTTTTAAAGACAGTTTGGCATAGGCAATTGAGTCTGCTGATTGGCCGTGTTTGGGACGGAACCACAGGGTTGTAGAAATTATTTTCTTTGCTGACCAGGTTCTTGGATGGGGGTCACAAGACCAGTTGAGTCAGTTCCTTGGTATGGGCCACTGGTCTGGGTAGGTCAGCCATTCCGCTGGAATGTGGGACCTGGGAGATATCTCAGAAGCTACCCCTAGGTTTCAAAAAGGTGATGTTATCTATGAAGAAAGCTAAGAATCCTTATGACCACCAGCTGTGTGGCTCCAGAGTGGCAATTATAGAGAAGCAAACAGGGGACAGTGGGTAGTTATTATCATTAATTTTAGCTAGGCCTGTGTCTTATTTTTAGGTAGGCTGTTACCGCACAGTTCTTGCCTGGCACCCCTTTATCAATTTGTAAAGGTGGTTTCAACTGTACTTTCTTTTTGGTTAAATTCAATTTTAGTACCAAGTAATAGTTTATATATATATGTATTTTTTTTTCTTTGAGACACAGTCTCACTCTGTTATCTAGGGGAGTGCCATGGCATCATCACAGCTCACAGCAACCTCAAACTCCTGGGCTCAGGCGATCCTCCTGCCTCAGCCTCCCAAGTACCTGGGACTTCAGGTGCTTACCACCATGCCCGGCTAATTTTTTTTTCTGTTTTTGGTAGAGATGGGATCTCACTCTTGCTCAGGCTGGTCTTGAACTCCTGACCTCAAGTGATATTCCCACCTCAGCCTTCCAGAGTGCTAGAATTACAGGCATGAGCCACTGGGCCCAGCTAAGTAATACTTTAATTCACTATTTTTATCATTATATCTATAGCATTTGCATCACATAGATTTCTCTCTTATGTGGAGCTTTGCCTTTACACTTTGAATTTACTGCATTAGTATAATAAAATCCAAGTGTGAGCATTAAGGCCGTGAGTGAAATTTACCTGAAAGGGACGGCCGGTCAATTGGTAAATAGCACCAGGATTCAAAATGGGTCCCCATTAATTGAAGTAGTATCCAGAAATCCAAAATTAGATTTAATGGATAAATGGTGGGTATAGTCAAAGCTGGGTTGAGATATTTGTAGATTGTGGGCAGTGGAAATGAATTATCCTGGGTTTAGGGCAGGTGTGAACTTGTGAAAGTCATGCCAAGCCTGAGCTGGGCATCTGAAGCCTGGGCCTGAGCCCTGGTGCTGCCTGTTCTGGCCACATCACCTTAGCCGTATCGCCTCAGCTCTCTAAGGCCGTTTCTTTTCTGTGGGATGAGGATGAAGACACCTATCTCACAGATACTAGAGAGGATAAAACAACAGTGTATTGCAGAATGCTTGTAAAGCATAAGGGGTTGAACACAAATTTCTTATTGTATCCTTTACGAGAGAGGGGATATTCAGAAGGTAAAGACCCCTGTACTCCCTGTCTATATTGGAGATTAGTGTTAAACAGAGAGAGAGAGAGAGAGAGAGAGAGAGAGTGAGAGTGAGAGAGAGTGTGTGTGTGTGTGTGTGTGTGTGTGTTTTGTATGCACACATGCACGTGCTCTGGCAGACAAGTACTGTATTATTAGTACTTTGGGGAAGAATTAGCAGTTACTAATAGCAGCCCTGGATTCAGTTTGGTCTCTATCCTTTTTTAACTGGTGACACCTGTTTCTTCACCATGATTGGCCTCCAGAAGAGAGTCATGAAAGTGAGTTACTGAATAGAAGGCACTTTATAAACTGGAGAGTACCTTATAAATAAGATTTATGGAGAGAAGGACAGAGGAAGAAGAGAGGATACCCTCCTTTCCCTTGCCTTCCCTGTCCTTCGTCTTAATTAATCTTCCCCTGCTTTCCTTTTGGCATTTGTACTAGTCAGAGTTCCAGCAGGATTATGGTACACTCTAACAGGGTGACTGAGGAGAGTTTTATAAAATGACTGTTTACAAAGGCATGGACCAGGCATAGGTAGCCTGTAAAGGCTGGTGTAGTAACCTGGGGCCAACAGTAGCTGGGCTGGGGGAGGGAGCACTTATTGGAACCCAGAGAGGGCAGCTGTAGCCTTTTGAAGGGGACATGGCACTTTGTGCTACCCCTGCAGGGAGGGAGCTGGAGGAGCAATGCCCCTTCCTCTTTCTCCTGCTTTCTAGTCTCCTCCTCCTGTCTCCTCTCTGCTAACCCCAAGCAGAAGACAGAGGACAAGAGAGCTGTTGATGAAATCCCTACTATCGGTGTCCTGGGGGTAGCCAGTGAGATGAGAAGGTAGAGAAAGGATCCCTGGGTGTGTTTCTGGCAACAGGAAAATATCTTACTTTAGAGTTGATACTTTAAAATTATTTTTCTTTTCCTCTTATTTTCTCCCCATTCATTCATCCATCAGTCACATGTTCTCCTGTACTTGGAGTCTGCATTAGTGTGGTGTCCAGCATGTGGACAGTGCCCAGGGGCTTGGTGACTAGATTAAAAGTGGTGCCAAGTGCTTGACTGCTCTTGCCTAACGTAATTTCAGTGAAGCACAAGCCAATGTATTAGTAGTTTATATTTCGTCTTCTACTTTCTTGGTTTTTTATTTTTAGGTTGTAAGTGTATAAAAATTTCTCAGGTGACCTGGAGGAAGAGGGTCCTACTTCCTGATTCTCTTTCCTTTTCTTCTCATACCCTTAACCTCAAAAATTAAGATTTCTTTTGTTTTTGTTGTGGAAAAAACTGGCCAACATTCTGATTTGATGATTATGTCGACATTTGGGCCCTCAGAGCAAGCCTCTGGCTTTGAGATAGTTATAATAAACAAAGAAGCAACCTGGATTTTTTTCTTACATACTTCTAATTGCTTGAGAGATACTAGTTTCTTTCTATAAATTACTGATTGATAGTGAGAAACAATTTTGTAGCTTTATTTCTACTATACAGGGTAATTTTTAGATACTTATGTGTTTCTCCAGTATTCGTGGTTAGGATTATTAAATATTCATTTTTAACTCTGGATTAATTCTGTTAAAATGGGCTCATAGCATTTACATTGCAGTTGTTAATTTATATTTCAAGGAATTTCAGATCACATTATTAAAAGTAAAAGGAAGATTATAAAGGAAATTGGCTACTGCAGGACTCTGGGGCTGGAAATCATCTTTCATTGTAATTGTGTGAAGGTTGTGTTTACCAAGACATCTGTAGTCATTTAAGAGTACTTCTATGAAAACTGTAATACTTAATTGAAATTTTGCGATTGTTTATAAAGATAGTAATGAAATCCAACCATCAGAAAAACAAAATGATATTAGGACAGATGTTGTATTCCTAGTTCTATTTCTCTCTCTCTCTATTCCTTCTTCTCAGCCATGTTGTGAGGAAATGGCATTCAGGACCCTGGTCATAGTAATGTTTTTCATCCTATTCTTTCATAGTCAGTATACAAATTGGTACTTTCATTTCCTTCACGTTGTTGGGGGAAGGCAAAGACATTTATTGTTTTGGAAATCTCAAGGAAATTTGGAAGGGAGTGAGAAATGACATATGAATGACATGAAAATAGCCACTTACATTTAGAAAAATGAGGTTTTTAGATTCATAGTTTTAGATTTGTTGTAGCAGAAATATAATGTCATTCAGTGAAATGATCTCATTTTTCTCACTTTCTTTCTTTCCATGGACATTTATAGCTCCTTTAGGGATTATCTTCAGGCTTGTGATAACAGAAAAGGAACAGTGAAGATGGGAAAAATGAGAAAGTACAGAAGAAAAAATCTAATAACAATAAATATCTGTATCGTGTTATCAGTCAAGAATGGGCAGAGGGAAGAAGAGCCACTGTAGCTTTCCTGAGTTAGGCGATTCCATGGAGCAACTGAGCCAACCTAACCCTCTAGAAATGGATAAAGTGGATACTTACAGTCTGGAAAAATGATCCTTATTCTTGTCTTACCAGGCTGCTGTGCTCTCCATATACCCCATTTTAAAAGTAGAGAAAATGACTTAGGGGGGAGGGGGGACAAGGGCAACATACGTAACCTAAACATCTGTACCCCCATAATATGCTGAAAAAAAAAAAAAAAGTAGAGAAAATGTCAATAATGGAAGGGAGGAAATCATCAAAGCTCCCTCCAAATAGCATTTGTGTAAATGCATTGTCTTTTCCAGATCCAGATCCTGGCTAATCAACCCATTGTCCTGGAAGCAGTTCAAGTATTCT